AACCCTGAACCCTAAACCCCGGGAGTGCGCGAGGAAATGCCGGGCCCCACGCGGGCTCGCTGCTTAGGGCCGCCGCATAGGCGCTGTGGAGTTGCAGCGAGGCCTGATCTTGGCGGAGCATTTGCGAGACCTGTATACAGTATATAGTATGTACACATATTATATATATATTGTGTATATATATATATGTATATCTATATATCTATACAGGGCTTAGGGTTTGGAGGTTTGGGCGTAGGCTTCCGAGAGTTGTGGGTGTGAAATGCAGCTGTGGCCTGGTTGTTGCCGGCCATCTAACTCATTCACCACTACCCCACACCGTCTGTGGCAGCCAAACCACCCAAACCTCTTCCGTTTTGGGTTTAGGACCTACACTCAATGAGGCCCATCTTGGTCAACAACACAGTTTGCTCTTTAATCTTTATATGTTTATGCCGTTGTAGGGTTCTGAAAGCTAAGTGGCTGAACTCTTGCCAACTTCTTGGCGAGGAGGAGCCGGACGGAGGCTGGAGGTGCTGAGGCCCCAAACGCTTGAAAAGAGGCGGAAGGCCGGGCTTCTTTCACCCCGTTTTTCGTCACCAAAACCAGGGGTCACTTCTTTCACCCCGTTTTTGGTCACCAAAACCAGGAGTGAAGGAAGGCCCAGGCTTCTTTCACCCCATTTTTGGTCACCAAAACCAGGGGTGAAGGAAGGTCGGGCTTCTTTCACCCCGTTTTGGTCACCAAAACCAGGGCTGAAGGAAGGCCCAGGCTTCTTTCACCCCGAGTTTGGTCACCAAAACCAGAGTGACGGAAGGCCGGGCTTCTTTCACCCCATTTTTGGTCACCAAAACCAGGAGTGAAGGAAGGCCGGCCTTCTTTCACCCCATTTTTGGTCACCAAAACCAGGGGTGAAGGAAGGACGAGCTTCTTTCACCCCGTTTCTGGTCACCAAAACCAGGAATGATGTAAGGCCGTGCGTTTTTCACCCCTGGTTTTGGTCACCAAAACCAGGTGCGAAGGAAGGCCAGGCTTCTCTCACGTCTTTCACCCTTTTTTAGGTCACCAAAACAAGGAGTGAAGGAAGGCGGCCGTTTTGCCCCTCATTTTTGGTCACCAAAACCAGGAGTGAAGCAAGGCCGGGCTTCTTGCACCCCATTTTTGGTCACCAAAACCAGGGGTGAAGGAAGGCCCGGCTTCTTTCACTGCGTTTGGTCACCAAAACCAGGGGTGAAGGAAGGCCGGGCTTCTTTCACCCCATTTTTGTTCACCAAAACAAGGGGTGAAGGAAGACCGGGCTTTTTTCGCCCTGCATTTGCCCACCAAAACCAGGAGTGAAGGAAGGCCGGGCTTCTTTCACCTCGTTTTTGGTCACCAAAACCAAGGGTGAAGGAAGGCCGGGCTTCTTTCACCCCGTTTTTGGTCACCAAAACCAAGGGTGAAGAAAGGCAGGGAAACTTTCACCATGCGTTTGGCCAGCAAAACCAGGGGTGAAGAAAGCTGGGCTTCTTCACCCCGTTTTTGGTCACCAAAACCACGAGTGAAGGAAGGCCGGCCTTCTTTCACCCTGACTTTGGCCACCAGAACCAGGAGTGAAGGAAGGCCGGGCTTCTTTCACCCTGACTTTGGCCACCAGAACCAGGAGTGAAGGAAGGCCGGGCTTCTTTCACCCTGTTCACCAAAAACAGGGATGAAGCGAGGCGGGCTTTTTATACCCCGTTTTTGGTCACCAAAACCAGGGGTGAATGAAGGCCGACCCCGCGTTTGAAAACCAGGGGTGCAGGAAGGCCGGGCTTCTTTCACCCCATTTTTGGTCACCAAAACCATGGGTGAAGGAAGGCCGGGCTTCTTTCACCGTGCGTTTGGCCACCAAAACCAGGGGTGAAGGAAGGCCGCTTCTTTCACCGTGCATTTGGCCAGGAGGACGCGGGGTGAAGGCCTCTCCAGAAGTCCCAGGCCTCCCAAAAGCACATGAGCTATAGTCTGAACTCCTCGTATCCCCATTAATGTCCCCTATAGTAGTCCCCCAAAAAAGCCCCGGTATGACCCTCTAAACGAGTTTAGACTTCAGCTCATATGCGTCTGGTATTGGTTGCAAGTAGAACTCCTTGAGGCGGGGCCAGGTAGGTTGAGTGTCGCCAATCGAGGGTAGGGCTTACGCGCCGCCCACGATCAGAGGCGGGCGGCCTACGTTTAGGGTGTGGGGTGTAGGGCTTAGGGATATGTAAGGGGAATGGAAAAGAAAGTGGAAGCTACTATGAAGGATTCAGAATAACAAGGATATGTAAGGTTATATAGCCATATGTGTGTATGTATATATGGGGAATGGAAAAGAAAATGGAAACTTCTAAACATTATCTATAGGGTTTAAGGATAAAGGAGAATCAAATGGAAAAGAAACTCAAGAATGCAACCGGAAACTTCTATTTTGGGTTGAGGGATCGGGTAGAAGCAGATGCACAAGAAAATGGAAGCTGAAATGGAAACCAGGATTCTAGATGTGGTCTCCGAGGATCAGGGTTTCAACAAATTTGGGCAACTACCAGATGCAGAAGCATGGTAAGAGCAGTCATGCCACCGATGTGTTGCCTGGGATGCCAGGTCTTTCAATAGGGTTAGGGTTCCCCGTGCCACCCCACTTCCCTGCAAAAAAAAGAGGTCTGAATCTTCGAAACCCCTACTCAATGCAGAGCTTTCGGAAACTCACATGAATCCCTGCAGAATCCTCATCCGCCGGCACACCTTCCGCAAAAGAGGAACTCCCCGATACATCCCCAAACCATCGTAGTCCTTATTCTAGGTACACCCCACAAAAAAGGACCTAGTTTTTTTTGAAAAGCACCCGCATGAGCCATGGTCTAAACTCCTAGTATCCCGTTTAATAACTTCTATATGAAGTCCCCCATATAATCCCCTATACAACCCCCTCGGGAGGAGTTTAGATTGTGGCTCATATGACATATCGAGTTCCAGGCCCCATTCTGCCAGCTGGCAAAGTCTGGCCCCTCCTCCCTTGGAGGGGGCCAGGCTACCTTAGAGTTTAGGGTTTAGGGGTTTAGGGTTTAGGGATTTGGAGTTTTGGGGTTTCGTCCCTTCAGCTGGATCAAACCCCTAAACTGCCATAGATTTAGAATCCCTGTAAGACTTGAGTTTTTATGGGTTATAGAAGGTTATTTCGGGACTACGGTCCAGAATACATACGATTAAGCCCAAGAAGACTATAAGCCAGCAAACCCTAAAATGGCTTGAGGATTTGGAGTTCGGTTGGGGCTAGGCGTAGGCTTTCGAGGTAACAGAGTCTGCACAAGGTTTCAGATACTGATTTCAGGGTTTTGGAAACAAGGAGCAGGATGGAATTCTGTAACTTAGGGGAAAGGGCTGCTGAACTAGCAATGGATTACAGCGCCCTAATTCTCCCTAATTCTCGGAGGCCCTGCATGTGAGGACTTGTGAGCAATGGAGCAACACTCCAAACTTAACCCTCAGAAATCTAAACCTCAAGTGCTACAGACTGACTGGGTCTCAGAAGGCTCAACGCCACAAGCTCGAACCGCATGCTGACTAAATATCTATTCTGAGGAATATTCCAGTAATCTATCCCCAGTTTCCATTTGATGTTCCATTTGATTCTCCGTTATTGAAGGGATTATCCCTATATCTCCCTAAATACCGATTTAAAGGGCTAAGTCCTAAACCTGAGCACTAAAGCCTAGACTCAGGGAATATCCCAATAAACCCCCCCAGACTAGGGCCAAGGACATCCGACTCCGGCAACCTCCCTGTTTTCAGCAAGTCAAGCTCTGAATCCTGCCCAGGTCAAGGAGAGGTTCGCTTTGTTGTTTTTGGGTTGCCTTGGAGCTGTGGTGGCGTTTCAGACAAATTTTCGGGATTGCTTGCCTTGGGGAATCATGCTAAGAAACTTCCCGACTTACTCCCATGACAAGTTCGCATGGTTACCTGCTGCAGAGTCAAAATCATAAAGTTGCTTGGGGGTTCCGGCTATAACGTCAAGTTTGGAGCCTGAATTGGTTATCTAAATTGACGAATCTGAAGCTCCAAGACCATGCTTCCAAGGCTTTGAAATCCACTAATGAGCCGGAAGTGCTGTGCTGTGCAGTGCAACCAGTGAAGCCGCTTAAACTCGAATAGTTTGCAGGTTTCTCAGTGGTTCCAACCCTAAACCCTAAACCCTCAAAATCCCTTCTCAGGTCCGAAATGCAGAGCTACTAAGGCTCCTAAACCTTGTTCCGCAGACAGCGGACATATCTCAGCAGTTTGAATACTAGTACTAGTACCGTCTATTACCACTAGATCGACCACCGCTGGAAAAGTTGTTTTCGGGTTTGGGGTTTATGGTTTAGGGCTACAGAGGGTCTTCTCTAAGTGTTTGTGGAAGCGGGGAGCATGTACCAAGTAAGAAGAACCTTCGTGTAAACCCTAGACCCTAAACAATTAACCCTGAACCCAAAACCCTAAACTGTCAGGTCCTCAGGCTTCGTGTTGAAGTCTCCGGCCAGGACCAACGCTGACTCCTTACACAAAGGCGAAGGCATCTGTAAAGCTCCCATGTGATACACGAGCGTATTTCAATTGCTGTTGTTGGTGCTATCCAATCCATTTTGCGTCAAGGCCATTATTTCGATGATGCACACTACGGCTGCTGTAATTTGCTGTAACAGGGCGTGTGCATCCTACTCCTCAACCTACCGCTGCTCCTGGTTGCTTCTGCTCATTCTAGCAGCCCTGCCACGACCATTACAACCTCTACCTCTACCTCTAGAAGGGCCTCTCCTCCGGAAAGCGCATCTTCAGAGCGTCCCGCAGCAGAACGGCATGAATGGCCTTCGCCTGCCTTTGCGCCGCAGGTTTCACACACCTTTCATACAGCCTCGGCCCTTTTCTCAGACTCTCTCAAGGAAAAATGCATGCTGCTTCCTGTTGTTGACTCTAAGCGGCCCATGCTTCTAAGAGTGTGCCGGCCTTTGTATAGGGACATCAAACAGGCATGGCATGTGGTACGTGGCCGCCACGAAGCTCTGACCATCGCCAGATTTCACCTTTCAGCAAGGAAGAAGCTTGCTTTGACGCCTTCGCAGTGACTCAGCATCGTGCTGCTCGTATGGGCTTGGTTAGGATAACTAGTCCGAGAGGTAGTGCTAACACTGCTGCTGCTGCTGCTGCTGCTGCTGCTACTATCACTTCAACCACTATTCCTCTGGGTTTTAATATGCCGAGAGACATGGAGACATGTATATATACATATACATTATATATTTACACATGGATATATACATACGTAGACACATGGTGGGATGTCAACCGCTTCCCACGTCCCTGCGTTCTCGCCTTGAGCTTGGCTGCCAGCATCCGGTTCCTGGCTACGTGCTGCCGTCAGCATGAAAGCAATGACATTATTTGCCTCATATCCGTTGCAAAAGGACGGCTTGAGGCAAAAAACGTGTGTGTGTCTCTATCATGCATTTAAACCGTTATGCACACATTATAATTGTGTATATGTGTGTATATATATATATGCGGAATGCTACTCCTTGAAATGAACCCTACACAAGGCAGCACACGGGGTGGCGTTATTATACAAGCCCACAATTTGAGAACCACCCACATCTTTGAGCTTCGGCGCCGTTTCCGAGCTGCCAGCGCCCAGGCGTCCTCTGGTTTAAGCATTCCTATAGCTCCATGGTTAAGGGTTAGGCGTGTATAGACCCTAAACCCCATAAACCTTAAACCCTAAAACCTAAACTACTAAAACCCTGAACCCCTAAACCCTAAACCGGGACTTAGGGTTAGACCTCTGAACTGATTGCATGCTTCTCAGTCAGCCGTTTGTCCAGGATAGGTGGACCTGTCTTAGCCTCATGGGCTTGCGATTCAGGGCGTCAGGTTTAAGAGTTATGGGGCTTAGAAATTCTAGAGCTTAAGGACTAGAATTAGGACCCCTTCATTTGGGAATGATTTCTTTGAGCTGGGCTTGCTTGTGTGGAGTGAGGGACCTAGCAAGCGTTTGAGTGTTGCGGTGGGTTATCATTGTGTGGGAAGTTTCTTGACGCAGCATTCTGTCGAGGAGCATTTGAGGACTTGTGAAGAAGCTGCCAGGACACGACAAACATACATATATGTATATGTATATGTATATGTATATATATACATATGTAGACATGCACAGACACAGACACAAAAGCCTTCATGCAGACATAAGCGAAAAGATGCAGGACATGTAGAGAATGTAAGACAGGCAGGATAACTACATGCTACCAGTTTTGGAACCTTCTTCAAAGCCCTAAACCCTAAAGCCTAACAGAATGAACAGCTTCCACGGGGTCCTCGTCCCTTGCCCAGGCAGGAGTGCTGCTGTGGAATGGGTTGAGGGAAGCCAGGCGTTCCTGCCAAAGAAGGACATGCTGGTGGTGTTTGGGGTCTATAGGGTTTAGGGTTTAGGGTCCAGACCAGCATGGAAGTCATGGAAGCCCAAAAAAAACCTACAAACACTGCAGTCCTGTTGAAAAGGGCCTTTGTCCATTCAGGAGAGGGTACATTACAACAAACAACCGTGTCAAAGCAGTCATGTCTGGATTAATCTGCTGAAGAATGTCGCGAAATTCCCCTCTGACAATGACTCCCGTAACCCTGCGAAACAATTCTGGTGACATTCCTAAACCCTCAACCCCAAACCTTAAACCCGAAACAAAACAAAAAATAGCCCGCAAACCTCATCCCTAACCCCTCAACCCCGAGCATCCTGTTCCCCTAAAGCTGCTCGGCCGGAAGCTTTCCCCAAGATACCTCTACAAGGCCTGATGCGCGGGTTCAGGCTTGGGTAAGGTTCAAGGGTTTAGGGCTTAAGGTTCGGGTTAGGGTTCAGGGTTAAACGGTTAGGTTTAGGGTTTAAGGGTTTATAGGGAGGTTCAGGCTCTGGGTAAAGGGCTTAGGGGCCAGCGTGTAGGATGTTCAGGGCTCGTAGGTACTGGTCTTGGATCGATTTCGGGATCCCAGTGGCCTTGAAACGCTGCCAGCGGCTCAGCTGACGGGGCGCCAGCTTCCTAGGGCGGGATACTACTAGGTTGCTGTTAAGGATTTTATGTGAAGCTACTATAGTATGGAAACTCTATGATTTACTCTGTGCCCATGTTACGGTAACTTGAGTGAAGTGCCTTCACAGCAACCCAGACTAGGGCCAGGGGTTGATGAGCTTCAATTCTTTCTGGGGATGGTCCAGTCATCTATGTAGAGCTTTGGAGGTTAGTGTGTCAAGGGGGCTTTGGAAGGTTAAGCGCTTCAAAATGGAGTAATTAATAGCACCACAGCATTTGCAAGAAATAGCTGATTGTTTGTAGCCGGTCAATGCCCATCCGAATTCTATGTTGCCTATTGTGTTGTGGGTATTTGAAAGAAATAGTTGATTGTTTGTAGCCGGTCAACACCCATCCGAACTCGCTCTTGCGCGTTGTGTTGTGGGTATTTGCAAGGAGTAGCTGATTGTTTGTAGCCGGTCAACACCCATCCGAATTCTGCGTTGCATGTTGTGTTGCTGATTGTTTGTAGCCGGTGTAAATTCTATGTTGCCTGTTACGAATTCTATGCTGCGTGTTGTGTTGTGGGCATTTGCAACAAATAGTTGTTTGTTTCCAGCCGGTCAACACCGTCTGAATCCTATGCTGCCTGGTGTGTTGTGGGCATTTACAAAAAATCGCTGTTTGTTTCTAGGCGGTCAATACCCATCCGAATTCGCTTTTGCCTGTCGTGTTGTGGGTATTTGCAATAAATGCCTGTTTGTTTCTAGCCGGTCAACACCCATTCGAAATTCTTGTTGTGGGTATTTACAAAAAAATAGCTGGTTGTTTGTAGCCGGTCAAAACCCATCCGAATTCTATGATGCAAGTTGTGGTGGGCATTTGCAAGAAATGGCTGATTGTTTCTAGCCGGTCAATACCCATCCAAATTCTATGTTGCATGTTGATGCATGTTGTGTTGTGGGTATTTGCAAGAAATGGCTGATTGTTTCTAGCCGGTCAACACCCATTCGAACTCGCTTTTGCGTGTTGTGTTGTGGGTTGTTGCAAGGACTAGCTGATTGTGTCTCCTCGGTCAACACCCATCCGAATTCGCTTCTGCGTGTTGTGCTGTGGGCACTGCCAAACAACTATAGCTGATTGTTTGTAAAGTCGGTCAACACGCATCCAAGGTCGCTTGTGCATGTTGTGTCGCGGGCATTGCCACGAAATAGCTGATTGTTTGTAAGGTCGGTCGACACCCATCCGAATGCGCTTCTGCATGTTGTGGGCGTTTGCAAGAAAAAGCTGTTTGTTTGTAGCCGGTCAACACCTATCCGAATTCTATGTTGCCTGTTGTGTGGTGATCTTTTTTGCAAGGAGTAGCTGATTGCCTGTAGCCGGTCAGTTGTGAGTATTTGCAGATGCCTGATTGCTTGTAGCCAGTCAACACCCATCCAAATTCTATGTTGCATGTTCTGTTGTGGGTATTTGCAAGAAATGGCTGTTTGTTTCTAGCCGGTCAACACCCATTCGAAATCCTTTTTGCGTGTTGTGTTGTGGGCATTTGCAAGAAATGGCTGATTGTTTGTAGCCGGTCAACACCCATTCGAAATTCGTTTTTGCGTGTTGTGTTGTGGGCATTTGCAAGGAGTAGCTGATTGTTTCTAGCCGGTCAACACCCATCCGAATTCTATGTTGCCTGTTGTGTTGTGGGTATTTGCAAGAAATAGCTGATTGTTTCTAGCCGGTCAACACCCATTCGAAATTCGTTTTTGCGTGTTGCGTTGTGGGTTAAAGAACCAAACTCCCGTGGGCTATAGACTCAATTCCTAGTATCCCCCTCAATTAACCCTATAATACTCCCCTATATAAGTCCCCATATAACCCCCTTGAGGGAGCGTAGACTATAGTTCATGTTGAGTAGGGTGCTCACAAACGGATTCCGGATGTCGTTCTCTACACATCCGCCTTCTCATCTGTTCATGACTTGCCACACTCTGCCGGACTGTGCTTGCCTCTTGACGGTACGAAAGGAAAGAAACAATCACCATGACTTTAGTTAATCCTTTGTGGCCCTATGCATTTCCCATATATTACTGAACCCTAAACCCTTAAACCCAAAACCCTCATTTCGTTTTCAATTATCCCAATATAATTCCAACACAACCCTAAAATTACACCAATAGAGCCTGTAGACATCTACTCTAGACCAACCCCAGTAGCCTTCATTCTCTACAAGCAAGGAGCAACTTCGTCAGCTCTGGGTTAGGTACAACTGATCTGCTGGCCGCACCATCGCCATCTCCTGGTTCGAGTCTCCCTTTGGGCTTGAGATGGGTATGGACGGGTTTAGGGTTTAGGGGTCAGGAACCCACCCTGAACCCCTAAAGTAGAGGGGTGGAACTTGGGATGTAGGGCGGCTCGGCATTCTACATGTCGTTCTGATATCCTTAGGCTAAAAATGAGAACACCGCCTGGATAGATAAGGAGTGCCAGCCTCCAGTTCAAGATCGCTTGGAAAGGCCAAGGCCACACCAATAGGCGGGAAATACCTTGGCAGTACAAATGTTGTCTACCCAAACGCAGGGTTTCAAAGTAAAGGGAGCAAAATGGGAACGCCAAACAGGGAACTTAAAGAATATAGCAGGAGTACAGTAAAAATGCACCTACCAGATCCTTCTATTCCTATATTCTATAGTTTTTTGGGTTCCCTGTTTTTAGGTTCCCGCATGATGAGCGGTTCCGCTTCGCAGTACCAAGATATGTCAAGATGCGTCTGGGGCGTCATGGCATAAGCCTCAGATGCCAGAGAAGCAGAAGCAGCCAGGGGATATGGTAGTTTCCCTACCTAAATAGGGGAACCCAACATAAACACTAAATACTATAACCCTGGTTCTAAGAGCATCCCCCAAAATGTACCCAACAATTTGGGGAAACCCGCCTATCTCCCATTCTCCAAGCAACGAAGTGCCAGTGCTTCTTCTGGAAGTAGCTGTGTAAGCGACCCGCCCAGTGCTCATCCACTTCCTGCAGGCAGATCACCTCAGTGCATTCAACGAGGCGCTTGCCGCTGAGGCAGCAGCTACTTGCAAACTGCTGGGCTAGTAAGCCTACTTATAATCGGGGCACCCCCATAAGGACATTTAGGGGATAATAAGTAGGGTGATAAGACCGGAGTCAAGTAGTCACTAAGTCTGAGTGGAACAAGTCTGAGTGGAGCTCTGTAGGGATCGCGTCGGACATCGAAGCCTCCAGCCTCACATCGCGATTATTACGGTCACTAATGCTACAATGTTTACTACTACCAAATACATTATTACTGTTATGACTATGACGACTACGCCTCCTCCTCCTCCTCCTCCTACTACTACTACTACTACTACTGCTACTGCTACTGCTACTGCTACCACTACCACTACCACTACTCCATTCTTACTATTCTTCTTATCATTGTAGCAAATGTTACTACTATTGTTATTACTATTGTTGCAAGAACTATTCCTTCTTCCGCCCTCCTCCCTTGCCCAGGTTCAAGGTCCCCGGCTGGGCGACAACGCGCTGCCATCCTTGGCTGACCAAATACTCGCGGGGGCTTAGGGTTTAGGGGACGCCCCTTCAAAAAAACACCGTGAAGCTCCATAAATTACGACTATACTCACAGCTCCGTAACTTTCCATATTCTTTTCCATTTGATTCTCCACTGTTGGGGGGCAATATCATTCCAACACCCTAAACCCCTCCCTCATAGATTTAGAGAAAAACCGCTCTCTCTTCTTCTTCTTCGGGCTAAGCTGGACCGCTCTCTCTCTCTCTCTCTCTATATATATGTGTATGTATATTTATATGATTCCTATATATAATCAACCCTGGGCAAAAAACTGCTCTGCCAAGAGTCGGGCTGGTTCCACGAGATCCTCCGCAGAAATCCAGTTTGCAGTTCATGGTCCATGCTCTGTTCATTTGAGCTATAGTCCAAACTCTCTAAAGGGAGTTATATGGGAATTATATATATATATATTATAGGGGTTATTCAGGGGGACACTTGGAATTTAGACGAAAGCTTATTTGAGTCTCCATATCATTGCATAATGTAATGTCCCCTTATACCCCGTATTTGTCCCCACATAATCCCTCTGTAATTATCCTATTTCATCGTTCATGTTCTTCTCCATGTAATTCTCCATTGCTGCGGCAATTGGTCTGCATTATAGACAAAAGCCACGGAATGCCAGAATTTGTTTTGGCAGGCCTCTGAACGGCAGTAGGGGAAGCGGCGCGCCGAGCAGAGCGTGGGCGAGAGCACGTTGTACGTGACCACCCGCACATCAGCTCCTTCCCCCAAACTCCAAGGATGAGAGCTTCTCCTGCGTGATACTTTTCAAGCACATGCCTGCCCGGCGCAGCACGGAGTGGGCCCGTGCATGCTTCCGGAGCCTGGGCCAAACTTGAGCTTGGAGCAGCTTCGAAAAACATTCTGCTTGAAATCTCTTGGAGCCCCAGGCCCCGTGCGCCCCGTGGGCCCTGAGCGCCAGCGGTGGAAGCGCCAGCGCCAGGGGCGCGAGGGCCGAAGGTGAGCCAAGCCTTTGGCGGCTTTGGCTTCGGCTGCGGCGGTGGCGGCCCAGGCAAGGGGAGGGGCTCCCGGCAACGCACAGCGGGGCACTGGCCACAAGCATCCTATAGTGCCTGTAGAGATGCTTAATTCCATGCTACAGTTGCATCATGTTGTGTACTTGGTGTATTCCACCGTCTGCATCCACAAGCTCTGGTCGATCCACCGAAATCATCCCTCTGCCGAAGCTCCGTTTGGAATACTTAACATGCTGCCTGATGCTTCATTCTTGCCCCCATCCCCAAGTTGGTTGTTTCGCCTGGAAATAACGAACACCACGTTGTCCAGGACAAAGCATTCAATCATGTGTTGAAAAGCGAGTGACCGTCACAAACATCAAGGGTGACTTAGCTGCGAACTCGGCATACAGCTTCTATCATGGGGGTCTCATGATCTGTATTGGTCTAATGATCTGAGGGAAAATCCGCTTCGCGGTTCAGCGGCTGTTCCTGTCCAACATGCGGTCCGCTTGGCGGTCCACATGGTGGAGATCACAGCCCACAGCAGTCATGCTCCCGAGGGAACATTACCCTAGAATTCTCCAACGAATTGTGCACTCATTGCCAACGCAACGGGCAACAGAGCTTGCCAGCTCTGGGCAACATTGACCGAACCGAAGACGCCATCATTGTCAGTGCCCTGGAAGGCGTCCAGGGGAAAGCCGCAATAGGCGCTGCCATACTGCGCCTCGGATCTCATTTCGCCCCCTATAGAGGTTGCTTTTGACCCATGAAAACTGTTTTTGCATGTACTTTCGCCCCCCTTCCGGTCTTCGGGCCTTCATGGCCTGGGCCCGGGCCGTGACCACGTCGGATTCCCCGGTCTCCGAGACTTTCGCGTAGATCTCGGCCACTTTGGGAGCGGCCTCGGTCCAGGACTCCGCGCAGATGTCCAGGACGCCTTCGCCTTCGCCCTGCAAGAGCCGCCCGGCGGCCACGCGGGCCCAACCCTCAAAGCCCGCGATGCCGTTGATGAGCGCGGCCGGGGGCACGTTGCCGAAAGAGGAGAAGGGGTGGTAGGCACCTAAGTCAGGACACTCTGCCACCAGACAGCCAAACAGCTTGAATTTCCTTATGTTTTGGGATTCAGGGAGGCAAGGCACAGCAGCAGGTGACGTGGCCGGACTGGGGATTCTCCAGGCATGCTGCATTTTCCTGCGCGCAGATGTCCAGCAAGTACTCCCCAGAAGGCCCCACGCCGACGTGGAGGTCGTTGCACTCGGACAGGAAGCGCTCGATCAGCGGGATGTTGGTTCCAAGCGACGCTTGCAAGGCTGTTGCCCTTAATCGCAGAGTGGCGATCTCCTGGCGTGACGTTAGCTAAAGATACTTCTTTTTTGAAAAAAGTGGCAGCTGTGCTTGATGGAGAGAACATGGGCATGTCCCCTGATGGATCTATAGATGCCCACCAATGAGGACAATCCTTGTTATGGGGGGTCCCACACAACAGACCCCCAAGCCCAGGCCAACTTTGTTGAGCTCAGTCCTTTCGCAGATCTGATTCCACCAGCGCTGTGCTTGCGGCCTCCAGTCGCTCCTGAACAGAGTCAATCCGCGCATGTGCGAATAGCTTCAAAAGATGGCAAAGCTGTTGCCTTTCAACCAACTACTGAGATGGTCTCCTTTTGGAAATTCCTTTTTCAGGGGTGCCCGAGCCCTAAGGCCCTGTAAGGCCCTAACCCCTTCTTGGAACATCCGTCGATCCTTCACTGCGGCCGTCAGCACCCCAACCTTGTCCACTGCTCGGCTGATCGTCACCGCGAACTCCTGGCTGGCAACGTAGGCCTGGCTGGCGCGGTCGATCAAGGTCATTGTCTACCAAAACATTGGGGGGGGGAGCTACTTTTGTGAGGAGTTCCCACGATAAGGATTACAGTCCTCTGCGTAAGCTCACTCATGAATGGAAGCCGCCGATGCCATGTTAAAGTAGTATAGTAGTATGCCAGTATGTTGCTGTATCGTCTTGCCACCCCTCCAACATAGGCCCCTATAGATAATTGAATGGTCCTTACTATGGGGACCTCCAAGAATATACTCCTAATTTTAAGAAACCGATGTATCTGTTGGCGTCTTAAACATGTAGAGCGGAAAGCCTGGATTTCCGAGGTGATGTTCCGAAGCGTGGCCACGTAGAGTGACTGGGTCGCTCGGAAGACTGTCAGCTGCGCGATGAATTGGGAGGTCTTCACCTTGAGGGAAGGCATCTTGGGGTTAGGGTTTGGGGTTTAGGGTTGAGGGTATCGGGAAGGACCCGCAATAACCACTGTCCGGGTTCGGGGTTTAGGCTATATACTTTGCACCCCAAACCCTAAACTCTAAATCCTCACGAACTTCCCGCCTCAATTTCCCGGAAGGCACTTGACCAGCTCCCACACTCTCGGAGCTTCTCCTGTTTGGGGTTTGGGTAATTAAAAGGGAGGAAACACAACGAATCTAGGAAACCCAAGCATAGCAAAAAGGCACCATGCAAATTCAGGGAATCTAGTGAAACCTCGTACTCTGTGAAGGGAGGCTTCAACTTTTCAGAAACACAAGCTAGTTTTCAAATGTACCTCAGTGGAACTGACGAGTTCCCGCAAAACCACAGACCCTTAAAAACTAAGCCCTAGACCGCCAACCTCAAACCCAAATCCTATAGACCCCCAACACACCCTCCTAACCCCTAACCCCTTGTGCCTTACAACCCCTAATTCCTAATCATCGAGTCTCCGGATCGTGCTTCAGGACCCCCAGCGGCGGCAGGCAAATCTCCTCAGAGGCGGACAAACTGAAGCCTCAGAAGTCCAAGGTTTTTAGGAGAAAAATGGCATGGGGCATTCTGAGATCCCAAACCACATGGAACCTGAGAAGTGGTCCCCCCACAGGGCTGGCTTCCCAAAAACCCTATAGGGTTTAGGGTTTAGGCTTAAGGTTTAGGATATAATCCCCCAGGCACTCACACACCTGAACCGACCCTCCCTGAATCCCAAATTCTTCACCCAGAACGCAACACCCCTAAACTAAACCCTCCAAACCTGAAATCCCCCTCCTGCAATCCTGAACCCCTAGACCCCAAAGGCCTCAAACCTAAAGACCTTCAAACCTCCCTGAAACCCCTTAAATCACCTGGAAAGGGCCAACCCCCTATCTTGTCCTTGTCTAGCCCTTATATGAACCGTAGTCTAAACTCTGAGCATCCCCCTTAATAGCCCCTTTCACAATCCCCTCATATAAGCCGCCGTTGATTTAAGGAGTTAAGAATATGGTGATTCTGGCTCATATAACCCGGTAGTCACCATGTTACCCCACATAAGCCACCCTAAACCCTAAACCGCCCTCTTTAACCCGGTAGTCACCGTGTTACCTCCATAAGCTGCCGGGGTCCCTCCCAAAGGCCCCTAAACTCTGGGTTTAGGGATTTGAGGAACGCTGAGGCAGAAGCCCTATAGTAATCCCCTCTATGGCTCATACAACCCAAACCCAGGTCCCTAAGCTCTGAGGCAGAAGCCATAGGTCTGCGAGCCGATAAGCAGCGAGACGCCTTGGCCCTCGCAGAAGGCATCACACTGCGTGCGCATTTGCGCGTTCTCCACTTTGGGCTCCTGGTTCAGGGTTTGGGGTTGAAGGTTTGCGGTCGAGGGCCCTTGAGGTATTTTGGGGGAGCAAAGGTTTTGTGGTGTTTGGTTTAGAGTGGTAGGTGGAAGGTGGCAGAAATCTCTTTGGAGCCAAAGCCAAATTGAGCTTGAAGGATTAAATGACATTGGTGGGAGCTCTCGAGAATGGCTCTGGAAGACAAAGCCCAGACAGTCTGGGCATGTACTGTTAAAAAAACAGTCTGGACCATATTCTGATCCTCCCCAACCCTAAAACCCTAAACCATCCAGAAAAGAGGCCCGTAGTTTTGTCTGCGCTGGACTCCTGCAGATGGCATGAGTCCGCCTCCATGGTGCTGGAGAAGGCCACCTGCTCATCTAGGTACACACATATCAATTGTATCGACCTTTTCACATCAGCTACAGACCTATGGACAGATAGATAGATGGATAGATATATGGGGGCTGTTCTAAATTC